TCCGACCCCGTCGCCCTCGAATTTCACTGATGATGGACGCGGCGCGGTGCGGCCCGCGGGGTCAACCAACAATTGCAGTCACCAGTGTCGTCGTCGACAGTGAAATTGGGGGTCCGGGGGCGTCGCCACATCGTGAGAAAAATGTGCGTTTGATTTCGAGGAGAGATGTAGAACCAGTGGTATGTATGTGCCCCCAGTGGCCCCAAGCGAGGGTGGGGCGTGTGCGTCCCGGGAGAGCCCAGTATGGGCCTGGCCTGGATGAATCGGTCTGTGTGTGGTGTGTGTGTGTGTGTGTGTGTGTATGTGTGTGTGTGTGTGTGTGTGTGTGCACGGCCCGGCGCAGCAGTTGGTCCCCCCCAGGCGCCCGCCCCGCCGCAGCCAGGACTTGCCTGAGCGGGCCCGACTCCCTCTCTTCCCGCCTGCGCCAGGGTCTCTTCCTCTCCCCCCGCGCTTTGCGGCCAAATTTGCATGTAGCGCGCCCCACTGATGCCCGATCGCCAGAGCAGTAACCTCTGCCCAGCAGCCGACGCAAAAAGTGTGTGCACGATTCCGCGCACCCCTCCCCTCGTTGCCCATGCCCTGGTGAGCGCATGGCACGGGTGGATCCCTGCCCCTACTTTTGAGAGGGCCGACCGCGCGCGATTCTCTATTTCCATCTGCCCTTCTACGCCTCGACGCTACGCGCGAGGCCGCGACGCGGAAACAGTGTATTCTACGATTGGGCCAGAGTGGATTGGGTCGGAGGATCCAGGAACGCCCTCGAAGGCGCGAAGTTATCTGCGCCCCTCCTCCTCCTCCTCCTCCTCCTCCTCCTCCTCCTCGTCCCCCTCCTCTTCCCCCTTCCCCCCGCCATTCAAAGTTGGCACGTCTACGCATCACTGGTCCGACATTCAGGCTCGGGAGATCCGAGCCCAACACTGCATTGGGGGTGGAGGGGTGGGAGTTCACACCATATGTTACACGTGAGTGCTGCTCAATTGTTTCCGACACCTGTCCGATGCAGTCCATAATCGCCGCCAGTGACCTGGAATCGGCAGATCTCGAGCGAGTTGCCTTGTCGGAAAGCCCCGAGATCTGTCGAGGTGGAGCCCCGAGTCCTCATCCTCCTCTTCTCCCCTGGGGGTGCGGCGCGAGGGCGCGAAGTTTGGCGCCCTTGAGGATCCCGCCGCACCGCCGGTGCAGTCCATGATCGCCGCCAGCGGCCCGGAATCGGCGGATCTCGAGCGAGCTGCCCTGCAGGAGGGCCCCCCGAGGTCTGTTAAGAGGTGGAGCGATCCACGCGGTGCCCGAGACCAGCGCGCCAAGGCGGCACCACGGGAGCCAGCCGCAGGCCGCAGGCGTCTTCGGACAAGGGGCCAGCGGGGCTAGGAGTAAGTCGGGCCTGTCCCTCTACAGGAGGGAAATTCAAAAATAGCTCAAAAATGAGATGGGGACGATTTTTTGCATTTTCGCGTACTTTAAAAGCAAACATTTTGACTGTTTTCATTTGTAAGTCTTGGGCGGGGCGAGGACCAGGATAGAACGACAGGGCCGATTTTTTAATGGTTCCGTTTTGCCATTTTGTTGCCGGTTCCGATGCCGTTTCTTTACCAGTTTCGGCTCCGGTCCCAATCTTGAAGCCGTTTTCTTGCCGTTTCCGGTCTTTTTTGGGGGGGTCGTTTACAGTTTCAATAGACGCTCTTCCAGAAACGATGGAAAAACGGCACTGCCGTTTCCGGGGCCCCTTAAGTTTGGGGATGCTCTCAGAGCGTTCCAGAGCGCTCTGGAACTGCCGCGGCGCCCGTCACGTTTCTCCAGGAACCGCCGGATCGCAGAGATCCCGGTTCGATTTTGTCCCTGGCTTGGCTTCGTCGTAGACAGCTAGTCCAAAGTAGGTTTCAGTCGTTGGCCTCCGCCGATAGCCAATCTACTGAAATCCGCTCTCTGGCCTCCCAGGTGTGTTCGGAGTAGATGGTACCGCAAGATCGCGCCGCATCGCCGATGCGGCTCGATCTGGAGCCCGCTTTTCTCCACGCCGACGTCGCGAATGAATCGCCGATGCACCGGCGATGCGGCTCGATCCAGAGCCCGAGTTTCTCCACGCCGACGTCGCGGATGAATCGCCGGTGTACCGGCGGCGCGTCGCGTTCCTCCGACCCAGCCTGCTCGTCCCCCATCTGGGCGGCCTCCCTACCGGCAAGACGCTGAGATAGGTGCCACTCGGTGCTCGCGGGGGGCTCTGGTGTTATCGAAGAACAAGCGACACACCTATAAACCTTCGACGGTCCGCGCGGATTTCCCAGACCTGCGCTGGAGCGCCCTGGCGGCGCCTCTGGCGCCGCCCCCTGGCGTGCTCCGCGCGCCAGGGAGGAGGGTCCAGCGCAGATCCAAGGAATCCGCGCGGACCATCGAAAGTTGATGCTTGCAGTTTTGTCATCACTTTGTGTATGCAGCACACACATAAGCATAAACCCATAGGCACAAACACATACGCATACCGTGTGCAAATGAGTTTATGCTCATGTGTCTATGATTGTGTCTTGATTACGCCGTTTTGTTATGTTTCTATGTTAGAGCCGCTCCTCACACCCGTAGAGCCCGTCCAGACCTTGCCTCGCCATCCCCCGTTCAGGCACGAGGAGAGTGCGAGCCGACTCCTCCGCAGCGGGCTGCGCTCCCCGGGCACGCGATCGGCAAAGGGAACGGTAGACGGGCGACGGGAAGAGGAGGAGGAGGAGGAGGAGGAGGAGGAGAGGAGGAGGAGGAGGAGGGGGGATTGGAGGAGGAGGAGAGGAGGGGAGGGGGGGAGGGAGGAGGGAGGGAGAGAAGGAGGAGGAGGTCGGAGGTGGAGGAGGAGGAGGAGGAGGAGGAGGAGGAGGAGGAGGAGGGAGGAGGAGGAGGAGAGGAGAGAGGAGGAGAGGAGGAGAGAGGAGGGAGAGGAGGAGGAGGAGGAGAGAGGAGCGAGGATGAGGAGAGAGGAGGGCGTGGAGGAGAAGAGGAGGAGAGGAGGAGGGAGGAGGACGGAGGAGGAGGAGGAGGAGGAGGGGGGATGAGGACGAGGACGGAGGGTGGAGGGGGGAGGAGGCGGGGGAGGAGGAAGGAGGAGGAGGAGGAGGGAGGAGGAGGAGGGGAGGAGGAGGAGGAGGGGAGGGAGGAGGAGGAGGAGGTAGGTAGGTAGGTAGGTAGGTAGGTAGGTAGGTAGGTAGGTAGGTAGGTAGGTAGGTAGGTAGGTAGGTAGGTAGGTAGGTAGGTAGGTAGGGAGGCAGGCAGGCAGGCAGGCAGGCAGGCAGGCAGGCAGGCAGGTAGGTAGGTAGGTAGGTAGGTAGGTAGGTAGGTAGGTGCTCCCATGGAGCTGGTGCGGGAGCTTCGGACGTGACTCCCTTTTAGCATGGCACCACGGCCCCGGGGGCAGGCTCGGAAGTGTCCGTGCAGCGACGGCCCTGGAGGTCAATCCACCAGCACTGGAGGGGACGAGACGGGATCTGTCGAAGCTTTCCGCCCAGAGAGACAGGGAACACAGGGCCCCAGAGGGCCCGCCCCCAAGAGAAAAGGGCGAACCCAAAAACCAAGCCGAGGAGACCGCTCCGACAGAATCACAATCTCCATCCCCTACCAGGTGTGGGGTGCGAGAGACAACTCAGGGGCTCCCCGCAGGGCGGGGGGGGGCCGGGCAGGGAGCTCCTGCCCGGGGCTCGTCCGATCCCTCCTGCCCTGCCTGGTCGACGCACGGCGCAGGTGCGGGACGGCGACAGGAAGGGGGAGAGGAAGCCACCCCAAAGGAGAGGAGGAAGAAAAGAGCAGGACGAGGACAGAGAAGAGCGAGGCGAGAGCAGAAGACGAAACGAAGATAACCCCCGTAGGGTCGGCGGGCACCACCCCAGCGGCGGGCACCCTGGCCTCAGGACAGCATCTGGTGGGTTCCAGGACCGCCCGAGCGGGCACAGCGAGGCGCCAAAGGCTGCGCGAGAGGGCCGAAAACCCTCAGTGAAATGCCGAACGCTTCGCCAGCGAAGCGTTCGGCATTTCACCGAAGTTTTTCACCGTCGGAATGGGCACCGGAAACACAGACCCCGCGGCGAACCTGGCGCCTCCCGTCCGCTTCCAACCTCGACGGGCGGCATCCGGCCTCCCGCGGCAGGGAAACGTCCTCGAACGTGGCCGAATTTCGGGGCTGGCCAGCCCGACGAGACCGCTCCGCGGCAGAGAAGCGTCCGAACTGCTCGCCCCGCCCCGGCAACCTTGCCGAAGTCTCGCCTGCGAAACAGCGATCTGCGCCGATCGGCGGCGAGGCCGACGAAGAAGACGACAACGACGACAACGACGACAACAACGACAGCGACGACAACGACGGCGACGCCAACAGAGAGACGACGACGACCAAGGACGAAGACGCGACGACGACACCGCAGGCGGCAGCAACGAGAGCGGCAGCGGCGGCGGAGGGCGGCGGGGACCAGCTACGATCAACGACGGCGCCTGCGGAAGGCTGGGCGGCCGTCCATCTCCGAGGGGAGGGGGGCACAATCGGTCCGCCCCAAACGGGCGCCAGCAAGAGGCTCCACCGACGGCAACATGAGAGACAGGGCCTCCGCCCCCGACACCGTCCCGACCCACCCGACCCGGCCCCGCACGGAAAACGGGGAGGGGGGGAGGGGGGGGAGGGAGGGATGAAAAAGGGGAGGGGAGAAAGAGGGGGAGGGAGGGAGGGAGGGAGGGAGCGAGGGAGGGAAGGGGGAGAGGGGAAGGAGAACGGAAAGCAAGAAAAGAGAGATAGTGTTGGCACATGTTTTCCTATCGCGATGTCTTGAGCCAATCGGTTGCGTTCACGCACCCGTGGCCGAACTCAAATGGGGGGAATCCACACCCCCTGCGCGGATCTTATACGGAGTCCGAGATCGGCGCAAAAGCTGGCATCTGCCGCCTCCGACACACTGGGGCCTCTACGGGGCGGGGGGCGGGGGGCAGGAGAGGGAAGAGGAGGGACGAGCAGACGGAAAGGCCCTGGCGTAAAGCGGCGCAGCTCACGCGGCCGGCGGGGGCGACCAGTCGGCGGGCGGCAGAGGCGGCAGAGGCGGGAGCCCTTCCTGACCGCCGGCGCCGGGCCGCGGCGGGGCGGGCGGGCTGCCGTTGTTCCACGGCACGGTCCAGGCCTCCAGCTTGGCCAGGATCCGGTCCTCGACCCCGACGCTGGCCTGCACGTGGACGTGGCCACCTTTGCGGAGCCACACGTGTACCGAGCCCCTTTTGTGCCCGAATTGCAGCAGCACGCCGTTGGGGGGGCGGGAATCCTTCGGCACGTAGCTCCACTTGCCGGTGGTCAGCAGCGGGGCCCCCGCTGGGGAGGTGAGCGCCCAGTACAGTACGATGCGATCTGTGGGGAGGCTCCCGTCGGGAAGCCTCCGGACCCACCTGTCCACGCGGTGCTTGTCGACAGCAGGCGGCACGGTCAGGGGGCTGGTTGGCCCATGGCACGAGCGCGCATATTCTGGGAAAAGCGGATCCCAGGCCGTTGGCGTCGGAGGCGTCGCACCCATCGAAGCCACGGGCCCGCTCGGAATCATGCACGGCTTCGGGGCGGCATTTGCTTGCAGCGGAGCCCATGCCTGGGCGTTGCCTGGCGGTGACGGGACCGGCGGGGGGGACGTCTCGTGGCCGAAGCGGGGGCCGGCCTGCCCGCAGGCGCCGCACAGAAGCCTCAGCCCCAAGGGCCCCTTGGTCGCGACGAGGGCGTACGAGGGCTGCCCGCATCCCATGCAGGCGATGGTTGCCGAGTCACTGGTGCCGCCAAGCCCAGCAGCTCGGGTTGTCTGCTCTGTGGGCTCGCAGGGGCCTGGGATGTCCTTCCACTGCGGCACGGACATCTGGGTTGGGGGAGGCTGCGCTGCTGCCTGGGCGGCGTTCCACGTGGTCCAGCAGGTCTCGCAAAACGGGGACTTCTCGTAGCTGCCCTGACCTGTCGTGCATGGCAGGCCCACGGCCCCGCATCCCGCGCACTGTGCAAGGGGAGGGCGCGTCTCGAGCACACCCCTCACCCCACGGGGGAGGGGGAGAGCCGGAGCCTTTTGCTGCGGGGAGGCCTCCTGCGCTTCCGAGGCATCGCAGGCGGGTTGGGACCCTCCACCGCCGCCCACGGCTGGGGCCTGCGACGCAGGCTGGGCCTCCTGGAGCGAGTGCCCGTGGGCCTGGTCGGGGAGGCGCTCCTGGGGCGGAGCCTGCTCCGCCTCCCAGGCGCTCCAGCACTCTGCGCAGTAGAGGCCGTGCTGGAAGGGCCCCTCCCCTGGCGTCAGGTGGGCCTCGGCTTTTCCGCAGCCTGCGCACGACGTCGGCGCGGGGTGCAGGTCCTGGCTGTGGTTGGTGTTCCGGGGCTCGTCCTGCTCAACGCCGCCCTCCTGCCTTGGGGTGCCACCCTGGGAGGCCGGGAAAGTGAGGGCATGCTGACCGCGGGGAGGACCGGCGGCGGCCGCCGCAGCTCGCCACGCTGCCTGCTGCTCGGGGTCCATAAGTCCCCACTGGTGCTTTACGGACCGCTCCAACACTGTCTTTTAGCAGGGCCCCCCTGGGTTGTGCTTGACCTCAAAGTCCGCCGCTGCCGCCAGGCTGGCGCGCATGGCTTGCTTGTGCCACAGCCAGTACTTGAGCACGGACTCCAATTTCAACTCCCCCTGGATGTCGTGCTCGTGATCGGCAGACTTGGCCCGCTTAGCAGGGGGCCCAGCCATGGCGGCCATGGATGCTGGGAGTGCGGGGCAGGGGAACCAACTGCAGGAATGCCTGGGGTCGATGGCTGCAGGGTGCGGGAGAGGGGAATTAGGACGAAAAAGTGGGGGAGGGACTGAGCCAGAGCACCATCCAGAACTTACCGAAACACCTCCCCGCGGCTCAGAGAGACCCTTGGGACGAGGGCCGGTGGCCCTCTGAGGGCAGTCGGAGTGTACGGCAAGGAACGGTGCGCTGGGTCGACCCCCAGCCCCAGCCTCCAGACCTCGCCCTCGACCAGCAGGTCTCCCGGCCGACCTCCGCGCCCGCTCCGACTTCAACGGGTTCCTGCCCTCACAGCCTGGCTTCTGACACCAGCCACGACACACGACGCTCAACCTCGAAGACCCCCCGAACACGTCGCCTGGGCAGGGCAGCCGCAGAGGGAGCGCGGGGAGGAGGGCAAAAGACCTGGGAGGAAGGGGAGGGAAGAGGTGGGGTGAGGCCCGTCCCGTCCTCGCCCGACCCGTCCCGACCCGTCCCCGCACATCCACTCCCTTCCTCAAGCCTCAGAGAAGGTACATCGAGCCCCGTCCCCTCTCAGTGTGCCAGGGCGGCACACCGAGGGCGGGGGGGGGACTCGGTGTCTCTTTTCCTTGGCCAGGAAGAGGAGAGACAGAGGGGCGGGCGGGAGGGAGGGAGGAGGGAGGGCGAAGGAGAGGAGGAGAAGGAGGGAGAGGGGAAAGGAGGAGGAGGGGGAGGGAGGATGGGGGAGGGTGAGGTGGTAAGGGGTAGCGGAGGGGAGGAGGAGGAGGAGGAGGAGGGAGGAGGGAGGAGGAGGCAGAAGGAGGGGAGGAAGGAGAGAGGAAGGAAGGAGAGGAGGAGGAGGGGAGTGGAGGGAGAGGGGAGGAGAGGAGGCAGGAGGAGGAGGAGTAGGGGGGGAGGTAGGAAGGAGGAGGAGGAGGAGGAGGAGGAGGACGAGGACGAGGACGAGGACGAGGACGAGGACGAGGACGAGGAGGAGGAGGAGGAGGAGGAGGAGGAGGAGGAGGACACTCCCCCGCCCCCTACAGCTCACAGTTGGCACGCGCAGGGAAGACTGCGGTCGAAGTGCAACTCATCCAACCCACCGCCAACATTGATCCTTGGGGGGGCAGTGACGGATGAATGTGGCATGAGTGTTCGCGAATTTCTTCCGAGGTTTGGATGTCGTGATTTTTTCAGTGCGGCGTCCCTGGAAGTCCCGATCCCTCTCCCAGGGCCATTTGTCATCGCGAGCCGTTATGTTTCGGGTCTTGGGGCCCTGCGAGGGCCTCCCCAGGCCGAGAATGGCAAAGCCATGCCCCGCTGCATTTTTGCTCACGACCTGAGGGGAGCCTGGGTATGTATAGATCTCCTCGCCCTGTGGGCAGTTGGCGGAGCTGAAGGGGGACCAGGGCCTGGCTGGCCGGCCCGCCCAGCATTCGAGGAAGCACAGACACGATTCGAGGCAGCGAGGATTGGCGACGGGTCCCGTCTCCAGCCGAGAGCCTCCCGAGGAGGAGGAAGAGGAGGAGGAAGAGGAGGGGGAGGAGGAGGAGGAGGAGGAGGAGGAGGAGGAGGAGGAGGAGGAGGAGGAGGAGGTCCGTAGCCATTTTGGCTCAAGTCCGTAGTGCTGCGGCACAGGACCTGACTTTTTGGCAAGGGGGAAGGACGGCCCCCACAGTTTACTCCTCGTTGCCCGTCAGACGAGGATTGCTTTCATTTGCTGTCATTTCCAGTGAGCTCCTGCAGGAGCAACGACGACTCAGTCAGGTCAGCCCATGGCTGCCGCTCGCCGATGGCCCCTAGTTTCGTTCGCGATCATTGGGTGCGTAAGCCTACAGGCGAACCACAGCAGTGGTGCGGTGGTTGCGAGGGCCTCAGCAAAGCCACTTGCCCAAGCTGCGGCTGCAAGGAAAACAAGAAGCACTCCTGGTTCTGTAAGCACTGCCTGCAGCCATTGTCCTTCGTGGCTCCGTCAGCCCCTCCTGCGGCCTCGGGCGCCTGGGCCAACAGGCCCCCATCTCGGTTCGCTCTACGCTACGGGCGACGGCGGCTCCGCGGGTGCTCAGGGCGTAAAGTCAGGCGGCGCCCAGGGCACCAAGGGCGGCAAGGCTGGCAAGGGCAAAGGCAAGGGACACGCTGACGGCCAGCCTGCAGCGCCTCAGCCGCCTGGCCCAGGAAAGCCTGCGCCCGAGCCTAGGATGCCTGGCCTCCAGCTTGGCGAATCGGGATGGCTCCGCTCGGCTTCCACACACACTCTTGGGCCAACTACTCCAAGGACGACGTGCCAGTCTTGCTCAACCTGGCCGCCAATTTCCAGCGCATCGGCGACACGTACAGCGCGGACCTGTACAATAGCTATGCCTGCCAGCTGCAGCTGGCGTCGGTGCCCAAGCCCCAGACGGTGGGGGCAGCCCAACATGCCATGCGGGAGTCTAAGAAGATCTTGGACAAGAAAGTTCGTGCTGCTGAGTCCCTCGAGCAACAGCTCCACGATGCGGAGCAGGCAGCCATCAATGCCCTGGCCGACTTCGACGAGTGCCAAGCCAACTACCACAAGGCAGTGCGATGATTGGCCGAGCATGTGCCCCCTGAGGGCCCCGGCGCAGCGGCCGCCCCAGCTGCCGTGCCCCGCGCCCGCGGCCTCAGCCTTGAGCGCCTGCTGGACGAGCACTCGCCAGTGGAGATCTTCGCTTCGCTGACGATGACCTCCTCGGGCTGGAGGCGGAGGGCGCGGGACTCTCTGAGCATGAGCGTGAAGAAGTTGCTCGGCGCAAGGCCGAGGCGGAGGATGCCATCAAGCGGGCTGTCGCAGATTCTTTCGGCCAGGTCAAGCAGAGGACCGAGGAGGTGGTCGAGGAGCAGCGCGCCTTCCGTGCCCGCATGCAGCTCAAGCGCCGCAAGGTTGGCGACAACGATGAGGGCGACCGAGATGCAGCTGGCGGCGGCGCGCCTGCCACCCCAGGCGCGGCAGCGGCAGCTGCCCCTGCGGCTGCATCAGCCCCCGCGCCCCCACCTGCTGCTGCCCCTGGCCCGAGGGCGCCCTCGGCCCCTTCGGCAGCTGCCGTGGCCCAGGCCAGCGGCGTCGCCCAGGATTCGGCTGCCGAGCGACGTCCTGTGGATGCTCAAGATTCGGCTGAGCACAGAAGGCGGTTCGACATGGCCCTCGCAGCTTCAAGAAATTCAGTCGAACCTGGCCATTCGCAGTCAGGTCTCTAGCAGCCCTTGGCCGTGGGCGCCGACGTTTGGGATTTCGATTTCGGCCTCCTCGACTTGGCCGCCGCGCTCACCTGCCATGAGACCGCTGAGGCCCTCCCCAGACGAAACCCTAGGTAGGCCAGCGTCCCCGCGGCGCTGGGGCCGCCAAGCGGGGCCCTGGGGGTGGGAATCGGCGCGAGTATGGCAGGCAGAGAGCGCCGCATGTTCGCGGTATGGCTCGCCTCGCGATACTTCAGCCGCGTGGACTACCCCACTAGGGTGGGGGCAGCCCGAAATTGCCCCGAGTTTGCCAAGCAGCACATGGACGACTTCGGCATCTACGTTCGCTCCGAGTCGCCAACCCGAACAGCAGCCCCGTCATCGTGTCCCGCCGCCGTCGACGGGGGCGGCGCAACCACCAGCAACTTCGCAGCGCGTGTCATCTTCGGCGTCGCCAGCTTCTGCCCGCACTGGCCTCCGTCCTGTTGGTGAGACCGGGGGCGCGCGCGAGCAGGAGGCCAGCGCGCCTGGTGTTTCTGCCCGCCCCACCCTTCCCTCCTCGTCCGAGTTGAAGCGCGTGGTGTTTGACGCGGCCAATACTACACCATGGGGATCCCTCAAAACCTACTTGCAGGACGAGGCCCAGGGGACCATCGTTTCCCTCCAGGACTTCTGCTTCGGGGGACCGCTGTGCGAGGGGGTCAATCAGCTGAGGGACATCGGGTGGAAATCGATAGTCAATCCCAGCATTCCCACCCTCGGGGGGGGGCCTCAGTAGTGGTACAGGGATCGCGGTCCGACCACATATCCCTCTTGGAGCTTTACCTCTCGCTCGTCCCCTTCCTCAGCCTGAGCGAGTTTGTTCTGCATGGGTCAACACCTTTGTCCCTGGAGGTATGGCTGTCTTTTCGCTCTACTTGGATTGCAATGATCCGCTAGGCCTCGACTCGTTCAATATTTGGAACCGCATAGGTGAAGAAATCCATCAGCTGCAGATCCCTTTTCATCACAGGAGGGGATTGGAATACTCACCCAGTGGAGCTGCTCAACACTGGTTGGGTCGACCGTCTAGGAGGCACTATCCAACACTCCAGTCGACCCACTTGCCGTAAGTCGGATAAGCAGTGGAGGACCATCGACTTCTCTGTTGTCTCGCGAGGCCTCGAGACCGCCATGAGACGGATCGATCGCAACGACGCCAGCACCACCTCGCCGCATTACGCTGTGACGTTGGAGCTGGAGGGTAACCCATTGGAGGCCAAGGTCAAAATCCTGCAAGGCCCCAAGCCTTTCCCCAAGGAGCGCCCCATGGGCCCCTACCCTCCGCCTCCGTCTTGGACTCCCTGCAGCGACATCCTCGACAGGCACCAGGTGGCCCCCAGCGATCTGGACCAGGCTTACGCTCAGTTTTGCAAGCTTTTCGAGGCTGAGCTCAAGGGTGCCCGCAGCATCGATTTCCAGGACCGCTCGAATTCCGGCAAGGCCTCTGGGCTTAAGCTAAAGGTGGTTTCAGTTGTACGGACTCCTGGAGGTGATTACCCTGTGTCGTGTCCTGAAGGTCGTGCCTGGAGAAAGGTGGCTACTTGGTTCCTGGAGTTGGCGTACCTGCTCAGGAAGGACCACCCCAGGAACCACCCAGAGATCCTCTCGCTGGGCTCCAAGTTAGCCTCGGGCCCCCAGAGGCTCCTCGAGAACCCAGAGTGGAAGCACTTGCGCGCGCACTTCCAGCTTTGCACGATAGAGGTTAACCAGCTGTTACAGTTTGCCGCCGCGCCCAAGCGCCAGGCTGAGCTGTTCGAAC